GTACAAATTCCAAGGTTAAGCGTCCTTTATGCGACGTCATTTTGTTTTCTTCTGACTGACTGACAGACAACACACTACTGTATAGTGGTGCGAGTGGTTTAAAACAAGTGACCCCTTCTTGCTTTTGAAGTTCATATGTCATGCTGTGTTGTAGCCTACAGATTGCATAATTCTTCTCGTGATTCGTGGCATGCACACGTTTCACTGACGTCACGACAGTACAAATTCCAAGGTTAAGCGTCCCCTTATGCGACGTCATTTTGTTTCCTACTGACTGACTGACAGACAACACACTACTGTATAGTGGTGCGAGTGGTTTAAAACAAGCGACTCTTCTAGACGGTCTTCGGCCTCCTTTTGGGAAAATAGATATAAAATATGAACAGTGAAGTGTAATATAACTATATTAATTCATTAATCTCTGATTCGACATTTCCAGAATATTTTTTTTAATGTTTCATGATTTCATTAAGTAGAAACAATTCAGTATCTCATTAACTTTCCAGACCGATACTGCGCTAATCTACGACGCCCTCGGCTTGTTTGTTCGAGCACTTCACGACCTGGATAGAACACAAACCATCGATGTCCAGCGTCTGTCATGTGACGACAATGTCTTTTGGAACCACGGAAATTCCATTATTGCCTACATGAAAGTTGTAAGTCAACTGTTTTCTTGTTTCTCCGAACAATTCACGCTGACACTCATCTTAGGATTACTCTTATTTAACTAAAGATTTTACACAGAAACTGTCCTTAGGATTGTTGTTGTTTAACTAAAGATATCACATTTACAAACTTCTTAGGATTGTTGTTGTTTAATTAAAGAATTCATATTCACAAACTTATTAGGATTGCTCTTATTTAACTAAAGAATTCACATTCACAAACTTAAGATTGTTGTTGTTTAACTAAAGAATTCACATTCACAAACTTCTTAGGATTGTTGTTGTTGTTTAACTAAAGAATTCACATTCACAAACTTCTTAGGATTGTTGTTGTTTAACTAAAGAATTCATATTCACAAACTTCTTAGGATTGTTGTTGTTGTTTAACTAAAGAATTCACATTCACAAACTTCTTAGGATTGTTGTTGTTGTTTAACTAAAGAATTCACATTCACAAACTTCTTAGGATTGTTGTTGTTGTTTAACTAAAGAATTCACATTCACAAACTTCTTAGGGTTGTTGTTGTTTAACTAAAGAATTCACATTCACAAACTTCTTAGGATTGTTGTTGTTTTAGAATTCACACTGACACATTACTTCTTAGAACTGCTGTTGTTTAAGAATTCACACTGAAACCCAAAAGAATTACTTTAAAAACGCACGTTCGTATCAAACGAAGAACAGCTGGTCAAAAATGCCGTTGTTAAATTTAATGTTTTCTTTATGTGAGTGTGTTTTTTTTGTTTGTTTTTGAATTACTTTTGTTGTACAGTATGACAGAATTCTTGCCCTACAAGCTCATATTTTACGAACATACATCATATTTAGTATTGCGTTCGTACATTTGTAAATAGGAACAATCACGTTTAAAACCTAAAATTTTAAAATGAAAGACATGGAAATTTTCCTACTTATACCACAAAAAAAGCGCCCTCATTCTTTTTAAAAAAAAAAAGATGTTAAAGACAACGAATAATAATACTTTTTCTCTATTTATAGGTATATCAAAAGAAAGTTTATTCTCTCAATATAGATCTTGTTCCAAACAAATAAAAAAAAACATTTTTATGTCTCTTAAAGGAAAGTTGAGGCTTTCGATAAGATCTTATCACACAAATACTGTTTTTTTAAGCTTTGCGCATGTCAAATGAAAGTTTCAGCTTTTATGTGTTATTTATAACCTCGGAGCACTTTCTATCATGGTTTAAATCTTAGCAGATCACGAAAGAAACGTGTGTTTCTATTGTTGTATGTGTCTGTCAAGAACTTTTTAGTGTGTTTTGAATAGATTTCATTACTACCATCAGGGGGCTGACAAGCTTTTAAAAGTATTAACTTTCTTAAGAACTGGAAAACGTAGACATTTGTGTATTCTTTATTCTATATGGAGAACATTCAAGTCAAATACGTCACAGAGAAGACCACGAGATACTAAATGGACAACTAATTTTTCCCGGTATTTCGGAGCACAGATTTATCTTACTGCTAGAAAAAAAAACATCTCATATTTCGTTTTTAGGCTTTTAGTTAATGGATGTTTCGACAGAATTATAATATCTTTTATTTTGTAGATAGTGATACGGCTTTTCTTCTAGTTTAAAAAAACTGGTAAAGTTTATTGTCTTTTTTGTATAAATTACTTCCGCTTTGAAGTGTTTTCGTGTGTTTCGCATCTTCTTTATTGATCGAATAATCTGGAAGAAATTTTCCTCTCGTTGTTATTCCAGTAGAATAAATTGGAGCAAGCTTCGACAGTTTTTTAAGAGGGAGATAAAATTCCGGCCACCAGATGTCAGTTCTTGTAAATAAATATATTTTGGTTGTTACTCATTTGGATGAGAGGCCCAGGTGGTTAGGGCGCTCGACTCGCAATCTGCGGGTCGCGGGTTCGAATCACCGTCACATCAAATATGCTCGCCCCTTTCAGCCGTTGGGGGCGTTATAATGTGACGGTCAATCCCACTATTCGTTGGTAAAAGGGTACGCCAAGAGTTGGCTGTGGGTGGTGATGACTAGCTGCCTTCCATCGCGCAAAGCTACACGAGGGCTATCTGCGCTAGCCGTCCCTAATTAGCAGTGTAAGACTAGAAATTAAAAAAAGCAACAAAAAACAAACAAACCTCTCCAAGCGAGCGCTCTACAAACTAATCGCATAGCTCCTGCTAGTAAGTCACCTTTTAACCATAGATTGTTTTGTGTGGATGTGTAAAACCAATGAAAACATTTTAGTATAAACTTGTTTGTTTGTTTTGTTACATTTCACTAAAAGCTACATGAGGGTTAATTTCTCTAGTTTTGAAGACTATAAAGAAGGGAGCTAGTCAACATCACTGACTGCCAACTCTTGGGTTACTTTTGTCAGCCCGAAAAGTGGGATTTTTCCGTTACTCTTATAATGCACCCTCGGCCAAAATGCGGAACGCGTTTTTTTTTTTTTATTGGGGTTAACGAGACGCGAATCACGAAATCTCAACTACACATTTCGTCAAACTAGCCATTGGTGCAAGCTAATCTATTAATGTTTAACTATCACTATTTATGGACCATGTATCCGAATGTGTTTGAACTAAAGTTATCAATGTAGTACTATTGATAATATGTCTGTTTTCATGAATCTATGTCTCCATTTATTGTTTAATTTGTTCATTTATCTGAATATTTATCAGATTGTCTGTTTTCATGAATCTATGTCTCCATTTATTGTTTAATTTGTTCATTTATCTGAATATTTATCAGATTGTCTGTTTCATACATACGTCTCTGACTGAATAGCTGTTGCTGGCCGCATTTGGTTGACTATTTTCAAAAACAACCTTTACGGTAAACTACAAATTTGAAAACTAGAGACCAAAAGAACTTGGTTGATGTCTAGAGAATTCAGAAACAATGCAAGATTTTAAAGACAAGATCGACAAGAGAAGTCGGGAAAATCAGTCGATCGTTGAGTTTTAGATATTATACTTGAGAATTAAGAGACAGGTTACGGTACTGACTTACCATTATGTAGTAAGCGTATGTATTTGTCACATATTTAAACTAAATGTTTGACAAAATACTTCATAAAGAGTGCTTTGTACAAATACAATGCAAATAGATTATAACGGAATTAGCAATGTGGGAAACAGATGCCACCAGCTGAAGAAAATAAACATTCCTTCCAACCTGCCAAGTCAGTAACACGTGGGCATAAAATTTTAACATAGTAGAATTCATTAGATAGGCTTTTATTCCATAAAAAAAAAGGTGCTTGGATTTCTTATCTTGTTTTGTTTAGTCATTACTTCGAAGACTAGCTACAACAAAACAAATTTATCATTGAATCTGTTATTTCTAAGATTTTTTTAGTAGTAGTTTCAAACAGTTGGGAAGAAATGACACATTAAATAGAAGCCCAGTTAGTAATAGGTTGAACAAATGTGAGAAAAAAGTAATAATACATGGGTTACAAAATACCAAATATTAATTTCTTATCAATTAAAACTGCTTAATTTTGGAATTCTTCATTTTGATAAATCCCGAATTTCTCTCTGTACCATTCTAAGTTGATGAAAACAAATTATCATATCTTAATATTAGAAATTCTCTACATATTATAGCAATGACAGATATATTTAAATTTCATGGCAACATTGATAATGTGGTTACAATTATACTTGTATTAGGCTTATTACATTTTTAAACACTGCATTCCTTATCTAGTCCCTTAGGAATTTTCAAGAATTAGAAGAGTGTATATTAATAATATTTTTACATTATATTTGTTATATCCGTTTCGCTCAATCCAGAGCTCATCAGGTAGGCTAGCTGGTATACAACAAAAACAGCAATGGTAGGAACACTATTTATATAAGCCATTTGATAGAACAACAATTGTTATAGTGTGTAAGCTTTTTACCAACCGGCGAAGAGTGTTTTCAATTATACTTGTCATAAGACATTAGTATTAGGCTTATTACATCTTAAGCACAACATTCCTGATCTAGTCCCTTAAGGATTTTCAAGAATTACATTAGTGTATATTAGTAGCATTTCAACCTCACTATATTTGCCATATTCATTGTCAACGACGCGTTTAGTTTAATCCAGAGCTTTTCAAGTTGGCTTGGATACAACAAACAGAGAAGTCATTGGTACACTATTCATATAAGCCATTTGATACAACAACAGTTGTTATGTGGGTCGCCAGGTTGTGACAGGCGTATACACCATAAAAAATTTCTTAGTTGCATAACCACATACGAAGAGTGTAATTAGTTTTATGTTGAAGAGACTGGCCGGGAACTTCATAACAGAATTATAATGTACATTAGATGTATTAAATAACGGAATAACGATGACAGTGCTATCGCTGAGCATTACATATATACCAATGATTTAGCATTATATAATGAAGTTACGATTTTTATATCTTAAAAACATTACAATATTGAGTCCCATACTAAATTGTAATCGTGGATGGTCTCTTTGAACTTGTGTCATGAACGTATAATTAGAATTTAGCGTTAGCAAATTTGTAAATAGGTAAAACTGAATATATATTCAAAAATCGACATCGGTGTCGCTTCCACGAGGAACAAGATGTGGTTGTTGTTATATTATATATTATTTCAATTTTGTTACCTCCATTTGTGAAATTTAATACATTATTCTGTTCGCTGCGTCTTTTCCAATTATAGATTATATTGGTATGATTATAAAGATATTTATAGTGAGACGTTAAGAATAAAAATAATATTTTAAGGTGATTAGTCGTATTTATTATGAATTTCACAATGTATGCTATTCTTCAGTGCACTCGACGATCATTTCTCTTCATGGTTTGAAAGCAGCCAGAATGTGTTCTGTGGAGACGGTTGTTTTGCATACTTGAACCTCTTACTAAAGTTAGCAAAGACATTTAAAGTTTTCTGAAATATACTTAAGATCGAATTTCATGAATGACCAGTTCCGTTTGACTATTAAATTGTTAACCAGTTACCACTATTATAAAGTTAGGTGTAATGTAACATCGGTTGAAGTTAAGAGAGTGTGAGAAGGCGGCCAGCCATTGGTCAGTCTTTCTGTTCTCTTAGCACATTATTGGAGTGAGTGGCTGCCTTTCTAAGTTCAGTTGGTATGGACACTAGAAGACCCCCACAGTTATGAAACGTTATAATCCGATATACGAGAAATTGGTGCAAGGTCAGAAAGAAAATGACCAATTCGGCATGGGTTTGAAAAGGAATATAAAACACAGGAGTGCAACAAAAAATTGAAGACCATGAGAAGCGAAATAAGAAAGTAATATGCTATCAGTAAGATACAAAACATGTTCGTAAATCTGTGTGTCATTAATTACCTGTAATAAAAAGTCATTTGTTATAATTACATTAGCGTGATAATATCAACGTTGTTTAGATTAATTTTATATTTAAAAACATGCATAGCTTATAATGTTACGTATGTATTGTGTTAGCGTCAGTATTGTTACGTAAAACTGAAAATTCTAGAAAGCCTCGACACGCCTATAAATATAACCAACGCGACGCGCCGAAAGGGAGTATCTATTATTAGTTTGCTATAGTCAGTGTGCTATAAACTTCGGAAGTTTTAACTGATTGTTATAACCCTTATCAATCGCAAAACTTCAGATATTTGACCAGGAGCGTTTACAAAGTTCGAACATTACAAATCATTTAACCTCAGTGGATTCACATCGGACATTAATATTTTTACGAAAACATTGTCTAACGTCATCGGTGGAAACTCAATCTCTAATAGGTGTATGAACAGTGAAGACTACAGGGCTAGCTAGCTCCCTGTTAAACGAATCGTACCTACATCAACTCGTAATTAACTCGCTCATCATGAACCCTCGATAAGATATGGAAGAAGCTCCAGACTAAAAGGAAGACTTTATACTGTTTGTAAGTTTGTGAAACTTTAGTTTATAAATCATTGTTTGCAATAACTATTTGTAATAACTGTTGTTGTAAATTGTATTGTTGTGTGTATATTAAAACGTATGTGTATATAAAAGAAAACCGTGTGTATCAATCTTGTTGGCAAATATCATAAACTGGCTATATATCGGCTTTTACTTAACTACTAAATCCAAAATATAATTTAATTACTAAATTTAAATTATGATTTAATTCGGTTACAGACCATTTGAAATTCCAATACGTAACAACATAAGAAGGGAAATAATATAATATGGTAATTATCCATATAGTATTTGACCCTTTTCACATGTCCATTGAAGGTCCTTTTCGAAACGTTTATCTATCGTATTACTAAGCTACACCACTGAACTAGTACTTTAGCAAAAGTGCTCCTATGATAAGGCGAGCTTTGCTGGCAAGAGAAAGCTTTAAAAAATGACCTTGAATGCTGCTTAAAGCTAAAATCTCTTCACGTCAACAAGGATTCTTAGAGCAAAGTGAAAAGGAAATCGATATTAAACCGAACAATGTTCGTTTACTCCGAATTTTGGAAGCAACTTATTTCTTTCGAAAAATACAAGTAATAAACAGAAATTGGTCCAATATTACATTCTCTATACCAACATCTCAAATTACATAGTTTAATCCGAAGCGTACCTAATCAGTTTGTTAACATAAATAGCATACATTACATTAAAAAGGCTTTAAGGTTTAAGCTTTAAGGTCGAGCTTTTATTCGTTACTTAAAAAAAAAATATAATTTTTTTATATTTCTGTTTAATAATGGGTGGACGTAAACAAGTGTCATTGTTGCTTTTGTATGTCACTATTAGTTCAACAATTCTGGCGAAGAATATGGTTGTTACGATCGTGCTATACTTGCACTTCGTTTTGAAAACGATCCATCAAATTAATCTAGTTAACGCAAGTTTGTTGTTAAAATTTATTATTTTATACACATAAACATGTTATGCAAGTTTGTGATATATGTATACACTTATATTTACTGTGTGTGTGCATGTATATGTAACATACTTTCATATAGAACAATTAATACACAAAGGGCCTTCTATCTTCATAAAGAAATATCATTTATTTAGTACATTATTGTTTAAAGTTTGAAGTTATTGTTTAAACCGTTTTTTTTTAAATAGACTTTTGCCACAGAGAGAAAATAGCGTTATATTTTGAAATATTTTTAATTCTAAAATTGGTCCACACTAGTAGTATTATCATTATGTTTGTTTGTTTCAGATATTCGCGTAAAACTACACGTAGGCTACCTGCGCTAATCATCTATAATTTTGAACTGGTTGTTTGTAGTTGTGCACAAGGCTACACAAAGAGCTATCTGTGAATTTTGAACTGATAAACTAGAAAGTAACTGTTTGTCGTTATCAACCGTCAACTCTTGAGCTGCTCTAAAGAATAGTTAAATTTTACCGGCAACGGGAAGTCACATTTGAACCTTCAGCTTCACAGTTTAGCATGCTAACCACTAAACCTCGCCCGGCTCTACAGTTATTTGAGTAGGATATTTTATATATAGATGCTAATAGTATAATAATTATATAATAAAATAAAGCAAAAGAAGCAAAATATAGTAAAAAACGGATAATTTGTGAGGTTGTACTTGCATACATAAATAGACAAAACTACCGTCAATTCTATCGAAAACATGTTAACAACAGTAATTTAATATATATATATATATATATATTTATAAATAAAAAAGCGTGAGTAAAAGTTTATATTACTGAAATTAAGTGAGAAATACCCTTATTTTTTCATAAATGAAAATACTTTCTCTTGAAGAAATAATTGTTTTAAAACAATTGAATCTGAAATATTACAGAAATCAGTTATACTTTGTGCAGCTTGAAAGTTAAAAAACATGGGAATGCAGTGTAATTACTCCTCTGAATAAAACTGTATTTAATTTTGAATTTACGTAGAAGAAATGTAATCCACAACGAATTTAAAGCCTATAACAGTGTAGCTTGTGTACATGAAAGATATAAAGAATTATATATATATATATATATTGTAAAAGAAACATGGTATTCCAAAGTGGATAACATGGCTATTACCATGGTCACTTCTAATTTTAGTTTCGAGCAATATATCAATTAACACCAATTGGAAAGTTACGTCATATATTTTATTCCAATAAAGGATGTTCTTTGTAATGAGAATGTTGAAAGATGTAGCACAAAAAACAACATTTCAATGAAGAAAGTTTTCAGCATTCTAAATGTAGTGGAGACTTTTGAACAACATTAGGCTTCGAAATCATACCACAATTCAATCCGTAGCAATATCCTCATCCGTAAAGCAAGCTTGTGATTACAAGAAAAGTATATTTCAACATAAAATCCACTGAGATGAAGTTGCGCATAAATCCAAGTAAACAAGATAATGATCAAGGATTTGAACTTGACGAAAGCTTATAAGCCAAATGTTCACTAGCTCGCTGCCACACTTCAAAACTGTTCAGCTGTTTTCATAAGAAAGATGGCCGGAGAAAGTGCAGTTTCAGCAATTCATTGGACCACATACATGTCCAGTTTCTCGTTGGAGCTTCACTGGAACTTTGTGTCTTTGTTCTAATTTTGTGTTATCTTGGAAGACGGAGTCCTCCTACAACAGAGGATTTATCAAGATGTGTGGTCTATGATTGACTTCACCATCCTTCACAGAAACTTGTTACAATGAAAATTACGGTATTGAACAATAGTGTGTAAACATGAGTATTAGATAGAATACGATCAGTAATTGTGGGAGTAGCTTTAACATTAGATCGGGACCTGAAACATCGTTCTTTTAAAGTAGGATTAACTTAAATATATCCTTGGGTGTATAATGCAGCATGAAAAAATAAGGTTTTTAAAGCCATCTCAAAACTCTTTACCTACGAAAGAATTATTTAAGTTGTTTAAGTTTACAATTTGTTAATTTATAGTTACATTTAGTCTTCGCGTTACTTCACAGCTGCGTGTATCCCCCAACTATGTAATTTCATACTTGTAACAGTTGTTATACGAAACGCTTCACTAGATATAGAAATGTTCAGCCACCAGAATTCATAATTCAATTAAAATTTCATATTCATCCTATGTACAGAAAGTTTATATTACTTATTATATGTTTTCAAGTAACTTGGTTAGTTATGTTATGACATTTTGAACGTAGAGACGAAGTATGTTTTCAACAAAGATATAAAATTAGACCTCTGTGGTGTGTCCATCGTGGGGATCGAACTCCGAATTGTAGCGTTTTAAGCCTTCACGTTTACCTCTAATCCACTGGAGAACATATCTCAGACTCATTCAGCATTTACTTCTGGGACTTCAATGAGTGCTAAATATTTATGTGATCTGCATTTTGTTCAATAAGTATATACCTATCATACCTAATTCCAATACCTTAGGTTCATTGATGGGACAACGGTAACTCTACGGACTTATAACGCTAAAATCTGGGGTTAGATTCACGTAGTGGACAGAGCGGATAGTTCAATGTGGCTTTGCTCTAAAACAAGCAACCAAACAACAATTTTGATTTAAATCATGATTTGATGTCTAATTAGTTAAGAATTATTAACTTACAAAATCCTTACATCATTAACATTTGACCTACAAAATGCATTAAGTAAGCAATCCATGCAATTATAATCAATTTCCAAAATTAAAACAAAACTCATCAATATCAAAAATATCAATACGAATGTGTTTTTTTTCCTTTGACGATTGTTTCCTGAACACACGGAATCAATTTCTTTTAATACTACATGAAGGAAAATAAGTCTACAAAGTCTTCTATAACCGATGAACTCTGATTGTTGTAACATACAATATTTAGTTGGCTAAGATAAATTGTTAAATGTTAAAATACTGATGAAAATTCCAGATTAGTGTTTATGCGTATATAACATATTTCTTATTCTAATCTTACACCCCCAGTGGCACAACGGTATGTCTGCGGACTTACAACCCTAAAAACCGGGTTTCGATACCTCTGGTGGGCAGAGCACAGATAGTCCTTTGTATAGCTTTGTGCTTAACTACAAACAAACTAATCTCACAGTACGTTTTTTTAATTTCATAGAGAATCTAACATACTAACTATTGGCCATACACAGTTAGCAGTATAAAAGGAAGAGAATACAGAGGTTTGCGTTCAAACGTTTCAATTGTAACATATATTTTAATTGTGAAGAGAAACTTGCATCTCATATATTTGTAAATGGCTCATCAAAGCTACTAAGATGATTCTATTTATGTAGAGTTATTTCAGTTTTGTTATTCTGTTGAAGGCAAGAGATATAAACATACTGTTGTGAATATATCCACTTTTTAGAGTGTTTGTATAAATCAAGTCATAGAATTCAAAATCTATTTTCCCTGCAATGCATGAATTGAGGTTGGGGGAACTTCCGGTTTCAAACTTCATTTTTTAAAATTATAACAAAGCATTTGAAAACAATGAACAAGCGTTTTGTTTGTTTCCATAAAGTCGCTAATACGATACCATGGAGCTTACTTTTGTCATGAACATTATATTTTTGTAAGCGCGAAGCACATTAATCTCACTAGGGTTAAAATGTTTTAACTTGTTTTAACATGTTGCAGCTAGGAATATAACAACGAAGCATTCTCTGTTCTCAGTGAGGCAAGTGACCGTGATAATAGATGAAAGAGATTGAATATCTCTTATGTTTCTTACAACGCAACCTCTTATTGAATTCACATTATGTATATGTGGATATATAAGTGGTATCGTGGCTGAATGGGTTAATAAAACTATACTTAAGAAAAATCACTGAAGGAATGATCCTCCTTTCATTCAACCATAAGTCTTGTCAAATGGGAAACAACCAATGAGTAAGCACAACATTCTTCTGAAACTATGATATAATATTTATAGAACTTCGAAAAGTTGTATGTAAAAATACTCGGTATAGCTTATCGAAAAAAAAGCATGAAAAGAGATGTTCTCAAATTATAACCTTACTTAATGCCTTTATACTTACTTGGCTGCTGTATATATATGTATATATATATATATATATATGTATGTGTGTATATAATAATATACATATATAATCCATTGCAAAGTTTTGTATCTGTACAAATTACATAAAATAAGTATCCACTCAACATCATGACATTCCATCACACATCCAGGATTCCTGTTAGCTACGCATCACAAAACAAAGCAGGATATATAGACTGTTTTGTATGTTTCACTGGTCCAACGCAAAAATAATCTCTATCTCCTGTAAAGACTTCTATTAACTTTACATATTCTACACTGTATAACAGTTTACGTTTTACTAAAATAAGCCTTCAGCCGTATGATATCTTAAATATTTTTATCGCCTGCAAGGGGAACTTGTGAAGAAAAGTGAACATTTTATACAATTTTGGCCTGGTTGTCAGGGCACTTAGCTCACAATCTATAGGTAGCGGGTTCTAAATCCCTAACCGAATGTGCCCATTCTATTAGCCGCAAGGGGGGGGGGGGATTGTTATAACGTGAAGACAATCTTCGTTGATAAAGCGCGAAGAGCAGCCCAAGAGTTGATGGTGGGTGATGTTGACCAGCTGCCTTTAGCGCAGATAACCCTCGAAATTAACCAACAAAAAAAAATCTTATTCAGTCCTATTTGTAACTGATGATTTTTAGATTTGGCACAGTTACTGTCAGATGATTTTATCTCACCTAAAATAATCGCTAAGAAAACAAAATAATAGGTCATAAGACAGACTCATTGAATCACATAAGATGTTGTTGATTTTTTTTATCGCATGAATTCATGTCGTAAAAAACTATAAGAAAATCATCGTAACAACTGCACATATTTCTTCACCGTTCACTGAAACCACATTTTCATTTAATGATTCGTATAACTTTATGAATCTCAATATTTTTTTTATTATTACTTACTTATTACATGACAAAATATAAACCTCCTACCCAACAAAGTTGGTAAAAAAAGGTTGTTTATCAAACATTTCATCAAACATATTTTACAATTGCTAGTTAATAGGTGAAAAAGAAAGGACAAATAAGACTTAGTGGTATTTCTTATTAGTGGTGCTATTGTAGTTAGTTTCCAATGTATTTTAAATAGGAGAGCTCATTTAGAGTCTTTGAGTTGATATATCAGGAAGCTATCTGATACAAATTTAATTACTTTGATGAGTTATTCATGTAACGTACATTAGAACTTTGCACACACAGTCAGAACTTTGCACAACTGCAAAGTATAAAACCTTATCCAAACTTTTTCCCAATAATTTAACACTGAAAACCTAGTGGCTTTTTATTTTTTACTCTCCATCTTTTGTAAGGGTAACAAAGGGTAATTCTCTTATTGTTGTTTTGAAGCAGTTTTTCTTCCTACTGCTCAATACTGGCACCATCGTTTTATTTGTATTTTGGACCGGGAAATGTAGCTTTTTCTATTTAAAATATAGAGTTCGTCTCTACTTGATTAAACAACTTTTTGTACGAGTAGCATTTTCTATGTAGATGATCAAAAAACTCATTTCCTGAAAGATTAAATATATTCTTCGGTACGGAGATGTTTTTCTATGGGACAATACATAAATACAAGGAAAAAATCTTCTGAAGCAATCATTAGAGTTTTAGAAAAATTAATGTTTTCGTACATAAGAACAATATAATTACAGTATGAAGGAACTTCTTTGAAAGATAAAAAGATTTGTTTACTTATAGAAAATATCCAGGCATAGTCCAACAACACTTTCGATAGACGGGCGTTTCCCATGGATGATCAACCAGTTTCAATAAGACAGTATTTCTTCATGAACAATACAATAACAGTTTTAATGGAAGGATGCCATTCTTGAAAAAAATCGAAGAGTAGTTTCCATAAGAATGAGATTCTTCTTGAATGACAAAAAGAACATTTGAATAAGGATTTTTTTTATCGAATGATCTAAGAATGTTTTCAACATCGGGATATTTCTTTCCCAACTGTAAAATTTTTGGTTCATATAGGATGACAAAGTCCACGGGCTGATCCAAAGGTAGTTTTATTGGAGGGCTTTCTACGGACGTTTGTTCATGAAGTATCAAATATTGATTAGCGTAAAAAATAGCAACAGAGATTGTTTTCCTGGATATCAGAAAGTCGTTTTAGTAACATGGCGTTTCTTGACAACTAAGGAAAGTCGTTCTTTCGTGGATTATCAAATAGTTGTTTCTATAGAAGGATACTGCACCGTGAATGATCGAAGAGTGATTTTAATAAGGAGGTTTTTTTCATGGACTATCAATAATGATGTTTGTGTTCGAGATCAACCAAAAAGATGGGTTTTTATCAAGAATCCGTCTGCAGAAAGAGAAATAGAGGAATATCTCTCTTCTAAAAATTTAAGATAGGTCTCATAAAAGTTAATTTACTTTTATATTTCGTTCTTTTATTACAATAAATATGCATTTCGTGACACATTACCAAAATATATAGCATAATTTTGAGATAGATATTGATGACATTTTGTGGATTAAATAACAATTTTGGAATAACTTGTAACAAAGATTTTGAAAACAAAAAATATTTCAAATCGTGATTTCTTTGAAAACGGATACTTCTTTTTACATAATATATATTAT